TTTATTGCCCATCCCTAATTGCCCAGGGTGCAGTTAAGAGTCAACCATATTGCTGTGGGTCTGGAGTCACATGTAGGCCAGACCAGGTACAGATGGCAGTTTCCTTCCTGAAAGGACATTAGTGAACCAGATGGGTTTTTCCTCAACAATTGACAATGGATTCACAGTCATCATTAGATTCTTAATTCCAGATATTTATTGAATTCAAATTCTACTGTCTGCCTTGGCAGGATTCGAACCTGGGTCAACAGAACATTATCTGGGTCTCTGGATTAACAGTCCAGCAATAATACCACTAGGCCATTGCCTCCCCTTATACTTCCTCTCTCTTTGAGAGAGACTCTTTAAGATATCAGATAGTTGCCACACATCGCTGTTGAGATCTTCAGAGTCCGGTGACATTGATGGGAACACTGCTGCCTGCGTGTTCAGCTCTAAGTTGCTCACCGTCCTGACCTGGAATGATATTGCCATTCCCTCAGTGTCGCTGGGTCAAAATCCTGCAGTCATTCAAGATATCAGCTCACTACCACCTTATTGAATACAATCAGGGATGGGCAGTAAATGTGAAAATATTTTTGTTTAAAATTCACATCACAACAGGAAAGCATTATTAAGGATTTCAGAGTTAACACAATACAGGTATGTTAGGATAAGAGATCAGCAAAGTGTGAGTTCAGTCTCAGTCAGAGTTAACCAATTTCTACCACGATGCTTTGGAGAGAGTGTCACAACGTGTCCTAGTGCCAGGGGCTCGGGTAGGGGGAATTCTACTCAGGAATTCCAGTTCTGAATACTGTATAGTAATAACAACAACTTTTATTATTCTTAAGTGGGAGGTGGGCATCGCTGGCAAGGTCTGCATTTTGTTGCCCATCTCTAATTGTCCCTGGAGACGGTGGCACCTTTAACCTAGCACCTGACGCACTGGACAAGAATGATAGCACTGGGCTACACGAGGAGATATTAGGGCAGGGAACCCATGTTCTGAACAAAAAGGTAGGTTTTAAAGAGTATTTTAAAGGAGGAAAACGAGAAGTGGGGGGGCAGTTATTTCAGTGCTCAGGATCTTAGTAGCCAAAGGCATGGCCACTATCAGTGCAGGGTGTTCTGTTGAAGGAATACATCAGTGAAGTTTCCATGTGTTCATTCTGAATGCAAAAAGTTCAAATGTTCCTGTTGTGTGGGATCTTGCTGTGTGTAAATGGGTTGCTGCTTATCCACTCATCAAGAAAGGCTACACATGTGATAGATTTCCTGTGAGCTGTTACAGCCCTCTAGATAATCATAGTCAATTTCAATCAATCCATTCAGATATGTTATGATTCACCTCTGTGACAAGTGGGACTTGAACCCAGACTTGATGTCCCATGCACAGGGACACTACCATTGTGTCACAGGAGCCCTGTGTGAGATAGTTGCAGGTTTGGTTTTCCTTCCTGCTGCTGGCTTTGGTCAATGAGTCACAATCCCATTTCCAATCCACATGGGGATTAGTTCATATCATCTAGGAGTAGAAGTAGGCCATTCAGCCACTTGAGCCTGCTCCACCATTCAATATCTGATCATGGTTGATCTGATTGTGATCTCAATGACACTTTCCTCCCTTTCCCGGATATCCTTTGGCTCCCTTGTTAGCCAAGAAGCTAGGGTCAACGACCTTGCACCATCGCTAACTGGGGAGGAATGCTTTCTACCAAATCGTCTCATCTATCTGAGATGACCTGGGTAGACAAATAGGAGGCTGGAAGAATACAGCAGGCCAGGCATCATCTGGAGGAAAGGAGCAGTCAACGTTTCGGGTATTACCCTTCTTCCGGACTGGATGTGGAGGCAATAGATAAAGGGGGGGAATGGCGTGGAGGCGGACTGGTGGTGATAGGTGGACACTGGTGGTAGGTATGACCAGGTTGGTCAATGGGAGGGATGAATCCGATTGGTGGCTGGAAGGGAAGGTCAGAAGGTGGAATGGAAGGGAGGAGGTGGGGCTGGAAGGGGAACTGGGGAATGGGTGGGAAGGTTATTTGAAACTGGGAATCTCAATGTTGAGTCCTCCAGGCTGAAGGGTGCCCAGGCAGAAGATAAGGTGTTGTTCTTCAAATTTGTGTTCTGAGTCACTGCGACACTGGAGGAGGCCAAGGATGGACATGTTGGACGGGGAGTGGGGTGGGGAAGTTGAAATGTGCGGTGACTGGGAGGTTAGGTTGGCTGTCACAGGCCAGGCAGAGATGCTCGGCGAAACGGTCACCTAGTCTACGTTTGGTCTAACCGATGTAGAGAAGACCACATCGGGAGCACCGGATGCAATAGACTAGGTTGGAGGAGATGCAGTTGAAGCTCTGGAAGGACTGTTTAGGGCCTTGAATGGGAGTGAGGGAGGTGGTGTGTGGGTTGGTTCTGTATCTTTTACGGTTACAGGGAAGTTACCGGGAGGGTTGGAGTTGTTGGTGGGGAATGTGGCGCGAACTAAGGAATGGCAAAGGGAATGGTCCTTGCGGAAGGCAGAGAGGGGTGGGGAGTGGAAGATGTTCTGGGTGGGGGGTGTCTGATTGGAGTTGGCGGAAATGTTTGAGGATGATACGTTGGATGCGGAGGCTCATGGGATAGAAAGTGTGGAAAAGGGGGACCCTATCTTTATTATGTTTGGAGGGGAAGGTGGTGGTCAAGAGCTGTGGAACGGGGAATGGAGGAGGCACGGTGTACGGCTGTCTGGATGGCAGAGGGGAAAAAAGAGCGTTGTTTGAAAAAGGCGGACATCCGGGATGCGTGGGAGTGAAACGTCTCCTCATCAGAGCAGATGCGACGGAGACGGAGGAATTGGGAAGATCTCTGAGATGACCTGATTGATTATCTCTTTGTTGTTTGTGGGATTGCACTGTGCACAAACTGATTGCCAAGTTTCTTGGCTTTACAAAAATAACTACACCTCAAAAGTGTTGTATTGCTTCTGAAGCATATTTGGGGGAAGGGGGTGAAGTTAGGCAATAGAGGGTTATGAAAGGTGATATATAAATGTAAGGCAGGGGAAGGACAGCTCCAGATCTACATGAAACATAGACTTCTGGCACTGGAATAAGATCTATTGAGACAGTGCCTAAATTAGCATTGGTTTTAGAGAGTGTAGAGTGCAGTTACCATGGTCACCTGGACTTTGGAGTCTGTAGATTGAAGTGATATGGCTGGGATTGTAAAATCACTCAATTAGTTTCTGCTTAGTTGTTGTCAGCAGCGGTTTCCCACGTGGTTTTAGCCCCTTCTCTTTCTCAGTGTTTTAATGCAAACTCCTGTTTGCTCTTATCTCAATACATCTTTCCAGTAGAATCAGGGCCTCTATTATTCATTGACCAAGTTCCACAGAATATCGCTGTGGATTCAACTGCCTCCACACTGCATTGTACCAGTTTAACTGTGCACTAAACATAAAAGGCACTATGATTACAGGTAACAATAAAACACAATATTCACAGTATATGCAATTAAAGGATGTAGCAAGGTTATAGTTCGTAAATCAATGTACTGCACCTACATGTGTATGACTGCGTCATGGCTATCAATCTAGAGAATTGGACTAATACCGTATAATCATAAGAAATAACACCTGGAGTAGGCCATTTGGCCCCTCGAGCCTGCCCTTTTATCCAATAGGATCCTCCAGAGACATGAGTTCAAAACCAACTGCAGCAGCTGGGTGATCTTTGATTCAATTAATTAATTCAATAAAATGCTGGTCTCATTAACAACAATCCTGACATTCGGAAAAATGCCCCATCTGGTTCACCAAAGGAAATCTGCCATCCTTAGCTGGTCTGACCTACATATGTGACTTCAGGCTCACAGCAATAGGTGGTCAGGACAAGGGAACCTTGGGATGGGCAATAAATGCCAGCCTTCCCAACAATGGTCAGACCACAAGAACAAATGGCAGGAGAAAAAGGAAGTCACTGGCCCTGTTGGCACATTGAGAGATGATGAAATGGGATTTAGGGAATGGAGGGGTCCAACACTTCATAGAGTCATAGAGTCATACAGCATGGAAACAGACCCTTCAGTCCAACCAGTCCATGCCATACATAATCCCAAACTAAACTAGTCTCACCTGCCTGCGTTTGGCCCATATCCCTCCAAACCTTTCCTATTCATGTACTTATTCAAATGTCATCCAAATGTTGTAACTGTAGCTGCATCCACTTCCTCTGGCAGTTCATTGCACACATGAACCACTGTCTTTATAATTTTTAAATCATGAATTTTGTAAATCTTTTTCCTATCACCTTAAAAATATGCCCCTTAGTTTTGATCTCCCCCACCCTAAGGCAAAGACCCTTGTCATTCACTTTATCAATGCACCTCATGATTTTATAAACATCAATAAGGTCTCCCCTCAACCTCCTCCGCTCTAGCGAGAAAAATCCCAATCTTTCCAGTCTATCTTTATATCTCAAACCCTCCACTCCTGGCAACATCCAGGTAAATCTTTTCTGAACCCTTTCCAGTTTAATAATATGCTTCCTATAACAAGGTGACCAGAACTACACACAGTGCTCCAGAAGAAGCCTCATCAACGTCCTGCACAACCTCAACATGATGTTCCAACTCCTATACTCAAAGGTCTGAGCAATGAAGGCAAGTGTGCTAAATGCCCTCTTAAACACCCTGTCTACATGTGATGCAACTTGCAAAGAATTATGTACCTGAACCCCCAGGTCTCTCTGTTCTTCAACACTACCCAATGCCCCACCAGTTATTGCATAAGTCCTGCTCTTGTTTGTATTACCAAAGGCCTCAAACCCTGCTGACACAGTATGAGGTAAAGTCTCCTGGATCTGTCTGAAATTCCTTGGACAGACACTTTGAGCCGGAGTGGAGATTATGTACAATTGGAAGGTGCTGTGTAGAATTCTTGGGGCTAAAGTTATCGTGTAGAAACCTTGTAGATTCTCTACAAAGGGGGTTAGAGAGGAATTTTCCAAGCGTTTTGCCCCACAGATTAGCCTGGATTTTTTTTCAATCTTAACCCTCTGCCACTGTGCACACTCCCATCCTTTTTTCACACCGATCACGACAGCCAATGAAGACAAGTGTTTGGAGTGTGGTAATCAATTTGGGCACAGAAAGACACAAATACAGGGGAGGCAATGGCCTAGTGGTACTATACACCGAGGTAATGCTCTGGGACCCAAGTTCGAATCCTGTCATGGCAGATGGAGGAATTTGAATTCAAAAAAAGAAATCTGGAATTAAGAGTCTAACAGTCGCCAAGATTCCAAGGCCGCTTGTCGGAAAAACCCATCTGGTTCACTAATGTCCTTTAGGGAAGGAAACTGCCATCCTTACCTGATCTGGCTTACATGTGACTCCAGACCCACAGCAACATGGTTGACTCTTAACTGCCCTCTGGACAATTAGGGATGGGCAATAAATGCTGCCTAGCCAGCGACACCCATATCCCATGAATGAATTTTAAAAAAAGCAACACAATGTTGACCAAGGAAAACCAGTGCCCAAAGTCATAAGAAAGCGGCAATCACTCTATTTCTGGCAGTGGGATCTTGCTGTGCACAGAGTAACTGCTGTGTTTTCCTGCAGCATTTAATTGCTCTTGAAAAGCAAGCAGAAACATGATACATAATCACAATTGCAAGCAAAAGAAGGCACAGGCAAGGATTACAAAGCCATTCCAAAGTCATTCTAAAGTTGCCTTCCAGGCAAGTCTGATCACATTGGGACCATAGGAAAGGCTTCATACACACGCAGTGATAACTGTGTTTGAATAATGCGTGTGAACGAACATCTTCCTCCTATTTAACACAGCCACTGATGCAAGTAACAGCCCTGAACATTTGAGCTAGTTTATGGAGGGTGTGTTTCTGGCCTTCATTTCAAAGGCAATGGAATATAAAAGTAGGGAGCAGAAACAGAAATTGTTGGAAAAGCTCAGCAGGTCTGGCAGCATCTGTGGAGAGAAATCAGAGTTAGCGTTTTGGGTCAAGTGACCTTTGTTCAGAGCTGATGGTATCCACGAAAAGGTGGTATATATTACTGAAGACAGGGTGTGGAGACTGTAAAGGAGTAGGCAATAGATGGGGAGGGGGATAGAGAGGGGGAGAGAGACAGAGAGAGAGAGAAGACAAAAGACAGAAGACAGAAGACAGACAGCTAGACAGTCAAAGGAATGGATAATGGTAAGCCAGGAAGAAAGAAAAGCTGCTATTGGAGACCATAAGTAGATGAAAATGGGTTGACTGAAAGTGGCCTAAGTAATGCCTGGAGTGTGAGGTTGGGTAAAGGACATGGAAGAAGGTGTTCATGCCCAAGAATGGTTGAACTCAACATTGACTCCTGAAGGCTGCAGAGTTCCCAAGATGCACTGCAGAATTCACCAAAGATCTTCACCTTCCAACTCACAACCACTTCCATTTAGGAGGATGAGGGCAGCAGATACACTGGAACACCAACCCCTGCATGAACCCCTAAAGCCACTCATCATCCTGACTTAGAAATACTCACTGTCACTGGGTCAAACTCTTGGAATTCCCTCCCTAAGGGCATTATGGGTCTATCTACAGCACATGAACTGCAGCAGTTCAAGAAGGCAGCTCACCACCATCTTCCCAAGGGCAATAGGGATGGGCAGTAAATGCTGGCACAGCCAGCAACACCCACGCTCTATGAATGAATAAAACAAATCCAGAATCTTCTGATTTAATTTCAGATTTCTAGCATCCACAATATTTTGCTTTTTGCGAAGGTCAAAAGCAGGACCAGGGAAGATATTGATCAGAAGACAGCTCTGGTGAACACTAAAGACCCAGTAGGATTGCAGGAAGAAAAGTAGAAAGCCTTTTCTACTTATTTTTCCATCAACCTGTTCAGAGATGTTATTACACAACTCTGGAGTGGATGGGACTTGAACCAAGGCCTCCCAGTCCAGGGGTAGGGACACTACTGCAAGACCAAAAGTGGGCCCAAAACCTCTCCTAAAAGCATCCCACTCGATGAGCAACAAAATTGTGATAATCTGCTTAATCCCATTACATTCAGTGAGGGAATTCCTTAAATTTTATTTCACGATCAGGCTGCACCTACTAGTGACAGAATAACAGCAGTACAAGTCCATACAAATATATTAAAAATGGCAAATCCCCAAAAACCCTCAATTAAAAGCAGAAAATCCTTAAAATTCACATCAGATACCTACATCATTTGGCACCTGCAAAGTATAAAAGATAAATTAGGTTAGATGAGAACATTGAAGGCATGGTTCGTAAGCTTGCAAATAATACCAGGTTGGTGGTATATTGGACAATGAAGATGGTTATCAAAAGATCTTGATCAATTGGGTCAATGGGCTGAAGAGTAACATATGGAATTTAATTTGGATAAATGAAAAGTATTGCATTTTGGCAAGAGAAACAAGGACAAAACCTATACTATTAAAAGTAGGGCCTCAGGTAGTGTTTTAGAACAGAGAGATCAAGGGGTTCAGGTACATAATTCTTTGATGTTTGCGTCACATGTAGGTAGGGTGGTTCAGAAGGCATTTAGCATGCTTGCCTTCATTGTTCAGTCCTTTGAGTGTAGGAGTTGGGACATTATGTTGAGATGGTACAGGACATTGTGAGGCCTCTTCTGGAGTACCATGTCCAGCTTTGGTCGCCCTGTTATAGGAAGGATATTATTGAGCTGGAGAGCGTTCAGAAGAGATTTGCCAGGCTGTTGCCAGGAATGGAAGGTTTGAGTCATAAGGAGAGGCTGGATAGGCTGGG